CGGCGAAACGTTTGAGAATGTATCAAGTCCACTGTCAGATGCTAAGAATCATGACAACTACTATGGCAGATGACTTCGGACTAGGTGAGTTCTACATGGTCTCTCTGAAAACAAGACCAAGTTGCGACAACGAGGTCAACCCATTTCTATCAAGAGTAAAGACCTATTCTCTCATATTATCATTGTATGTTTAATGTTCTTTTCACGTTAGTCATGTGAAAGGGGGAAACTATCTAAGTCATCCTTACCATGAGGCCAGATGAAAAATAGTCATCCATATATGTAACCCACAATTTAGGTTCATAATTGCCTCTTCCAGATAGTGTCTCTCAAGTTTTGCCAAGATGGGAGCAAATCAAGATCCAATCGCAAGTTTTTGTTTGTTGACAATACTTACTGTTAAAGCTAATATAGTTGTTGCTCATGGCTAGCCTGAGGATGGAAGCTATTATTAACTTTATTTCTCGTCTGTTGTCTTGATGTTTTACTGCTGTACCTTATTCACGGCCAATGAGCCTTTAGTTCAAATTATTTTATTTGAAGAATGCGTAGGCAATGGCATGCCTACAAGTGCACTGTATAACAGACAATAGGACAGGCTGATGTGATTGTGCGCTTATTTGAGTTTAGGCTTTATTTTTCAAGACTCTTCTTGTAAGAAAAACCAAAGAGAAATAAGCATGACAGTTTAGCTAGACGTTTATAGCTACCTTTTCTTGAGTTGTAGACCAAATGACCTACAATAGAGGTGGACACGAGCCAGTCAGCCTTGGTGCTTAGACGGATAGAACATGGATTTAATAGAAATAAGGCCACTTGTAAGTGAGGCTGCTACTTGATCGTTTACTCGGCATAGTATCAACAGAATCATCCCGTTTCATATCTGCCGGAGATGAAGATAAAGAATTCATCGAAAACGTCCAAAAAGAAGTTGCCAGGGTTCGAATTCAGGGCTGACGTTCAAGTGTGCTACCGAGCTATCTTTCCTGGCGGCCATCGGTGCACTTCTGAGGAAGCAAACTCCTTAGTCGACGATGCTCTCAAGGCAAAGCCGATGGGCATCTTCCGAATGCTGGGGATCACCGATCGCCTTCTGCTTTGCTCCAGACTTGGCAGCGAGAAGAAGCCACCCTGGCCAGATATTCCCTATGCCGAGATACCTGAGGCTTACAAGTTGAGCAATTTCACAAAGCTGGTCGTGCTTGCAGTCGAGACGTTTAGCTACAGTTCGTACGAA